CAGCATAATAAATATAAACAAAATATGTGTACATTATTTACAGTGTTCATAGTAAGTATACTATCTACTATATTGTATTAAACTGTGCTCTGAAACATGTGTTCGCTAAAGTGTTCAAGTATGTTATTAAAGATCTTGAGATGACACTGGGAGAACAACAGTTCGGTTTTAGGAGAGGAGGAGAACATTTTGATTAGATGTTAAGAAGACTGTACCAAAATTTGTGCATCTTGGGAGCACATTGGCTGGCGACGGATGACTGTTAAACGAAGTTTAGAGACGCTGTGCATTGGCACTAGCAGCGAGACACAAACAATTAAAGCTCTGAACGGACAATGATGTGAAAACCATAGGTCAAAGCTGTTGATATACAGGTTTGGAGAACAAAGCAGAACATAAAAAGCTAGACAGCAAAGAAAATGCAGATTACAAGATAAATAATAGGAGAAAAGGGACCTGGAATCAGACATTGCTGTAAGATAGACTAGATTCATTACTTTAGATTAGATGCAACTAAAACGACCGACTGCTGGTTGTAAACAAAGCGTTTAAGACGGCTGGGCGACTGGCAAAAGATGGATGACAGCGGCTTGCAAAGCGAGTACTGGACGTAAAGCCAGATGGCAGACAACCGCCAGGAACGCCTCCAACAAGATAGGAGGCAAGAACTGAAATGGCATTGGAAGGACTGAAAAATGAGTACGCATTCATCAGAGAAAAGTAGAATGTTTTTATCGCATCCAATGTCCTCTTCAATGCAATGTTACAAGAAGACGTAGATGCTGATGAAAGGTTAATTGTCAACTGGGCCAAAGCCCAACATTAACGTAGAATACAACCCTCGACAATATGACTTCAGTTTCGCGCAAGACCTTCCATAACTATCATGGCAAACAGAGTCGAAACATTAGCAGATCATCGATCTGATGCGCTACTTACTTCTCAGCTACATAAGCCGCAGAAGTGGTGGGGGAGGTGAATTCTTTGACTTTGTGCTTACAAAAAGTAATAAAACATATATCAACCCCTTTTAGGCGCCTCTTCAAAATACGAGGTTAGATCGCTCGATCCCACTAACCTTACTGCTCACAGCGTTTGGCATTTGCTGTTTGAAAGCAGCGTCAACGAAGCCAAAATCCTTTTTGGGAAACGAATCTTTGTCGCCGAAAAGATCGTACGGTTCAGAAAGGGCGCTGTCGCCTGACACAAACGGATCGCCTAAACAAAACACTGAGATAACTCTTACATGTAACGGTTGTGAAGCAGATACTTGACAAAAACGGGTCTTCGATCACCTTCGTCTCCTCAGGCTTTGTCTCAGTGTCGGTTGCGGAACCACTGGGAACCATTTCTCCAAGGTTCTGAAGAAGTCAAAAGCTCTTTAAGATTTTATCCCCGTAAAATAAAACAATACTAAATTGAATACCATGTCAGACATTTCGGCGATAACCGATTGCATCATTTGGTAGCTGGATGCACTCTTGATATCATCAGACAGCAGCAGCTGTTCTAACTTAGCGACTTGAACCGCAAGTGCATTCCTTTGACCAGACAGTTTCTCAACAGCAGATTGGCCCTTAAAAAGAGAATAAATGTTTGAAAAATTCTATTTGCCTAGTACCTTTATGACACTCATCTTCACGTTTTCCTCCCTTTGAGTCAATTCATCAAGCCGGTTTTTTTGCAAAACAAGCTTCGTTTGAAGTTTGTTTTCTTCTTCGCTAAGTTCTTGTAATTCCCTCCTTTTCTTTTCTAGATCTCTTTCTTGGCTCTAAAATTTGCCTCAATGGATGTATATACCTTTATAACAACACAGGTTTATCGCTTAAACAACACGATAATTTGCTGCTTGCTTGAAACTTCAACGCCTATGCAAAATCACTAAAGAATCTCTCATTTTAGCACAGGTAAAAGAATCAAAAATCTTCGTTAACGAAGTAAGACAAAACAGACACAACTATAGTAAAAACTTTTGCAAAACACTGCGAATAACTCTGTTACAGACAAGTGATTGCAAACAATGCTCATATAATGCAAAAACGATATGTTCTTTCACATTCTCATCTTTGCGATACTTCAATGTCATCAGTTCAAACCTGACGATCTGCCCGGCAAATCGAAGGTATAAAATCTTAAAACAGCGCTGATCGCCAATGATCAACTGGGGGTTGAAACATTTGGAGGTACGGCACGATAGTTCCACTGTCTAAACCTTTATATATACACATATACAAATGCATATATATTACACCTCGTGCTGGTTATAACACTGAAAGAGCGACAATCAAACTATCAGGTCGAGCAAAATAAGCTGTAACCCTAAAAGGCACCTCCATCAGATTGCATGGCCATCATTGTTTTTTTTGCCGCTGGTGTTTTCGTTCGATACATGATCCATCCCATTCCACTGCCTATGATGCAGTAGACTGGAGAGCCTTCGTTCTTCAGGTACGCACTGACTTAGGGTGAGAGTTGGAGAATAAACGGGATGAATTTTTTGGACTTATTTTTAATAGCATGCATGGGTTTCAATAAATGTAGCTTATAATTTCTTCGTTGCTGCCATTTTTATTTAAGAAAACCTTTAGGTGTTCAATTTCTGCTTAGTAACCAGAATCTGTAAAAAAAACAACCCGAAGTGACCTAAGTCTGTTTCCAATAGTTTTCAAAATTAATTTAAAGACGCCACTTTGGCATAAGTACTCGATATGAACGTGGCTTACAAGCTTAAGTACGATAAATGCAACAAGATGTACAACGAAACAATCAGTCGAAAATTGAAAAAAGGGCTGTGGAACATCTAACATCGCAGAGGAATGGGAAAGTAGAGCATTCTGGCATCGTTTCTCATGCTTTCTGCTGGAGACTTTACTTGAGTCTGACGAATGCTAGTTCTGTTTGTAAGGAAAGAACAAATATCACGTTACTAATTAAGGAATTATTACACATGATGACTAACAAAAGCTAATGGTGCAAGAATTACACGAGTTCGTTTAGTTTGAGTAACAACTGGAATGTTGTCGGCCAGCTTGTTCGAAAGAATTAATGGAACAAAGGATGCTGTCATTCAAATGTGTTATATACTGTTTTTCATAGCATCGTTCTGTCCTATTATATCATCACTCAGATGATGAAGTCGGTGTGGTCTGACCACGTTTCATATCATCCTTGTTAACTGCTGCTCCGAAGCAAGAACTGGAAATTGAAGATCATCAACTGTTATTCAAACAAACAACTACATGATACCTACCTCCGCACCTGTTCAAACTAACTGGTGTTGGCTAAATCGGATTTGCAGCAAACAATGATTCACAAATTCGTACACTTGGATTATACGAAAACTTCACCATGCCTAGGAAGCCATATACAATTATTCTATGGTATTTAAGCATCTCTACTGATTGGATACTATATCTCATCCATGAGCTAGACGAAACATTCGTGCAACAAAATGAGGTTACGACTCAGATAAATTACGTGCTCATACACTACAGTAATGCATGTTAACCAGAAAACGCTATGAAAACAGTTACTTATTTACAACTAACTAACGTTGGTTCACATGAAAACTACTGATTGTTGTATCTAACACAACGGCTTCACGCTATTCGAGCATAATACAACATACGGAGCCCGTGTTAGGGAATGAGGAAATATCCTAATTATAGCTTGGCTTTTCATGACCAGAGAAATACGGCGTAGCAATGTAATGTGAACCTGTAAATTCACATCATATTCCTTCTAAAAATTAATTACGCGGCGAGATTCCGCTCCAATGCTCTTCTGTAGATTTCCATACAACTGGAACAAATATGCAACGTTTAGATAGGAATAATCACCATCGTGCTTTCTGACTCTATTGTCAGGACCACGAATACCATGAAGAAATAAATAAATATTTTACTTCTGGCACCATAATCCGTGAATCTTCATGACAATTAAAATGTTGTATCTCTAAGGAAAAATTATATTTACTTTACCGTACCACTAACAGCAGAATTCGACAGCGTGGCGATATTTACTGGTTACGGCCTGGCATCGGTATAAGACTTAGAAATTATTTAAAGTCGAACATTTAGGCAACACGAATCTGAACGAAGCCAAAAAAGTACCTTGGCTAGCGCCATGCGATTTTCTGCTTCCGCCTGTAACGTCCGCAGTTCTGATTGTTCAGCTTCTAGGCGAGCCTTCAGACTCTCCAGAGATTCGCTCAAGGTGGCTCTCTAAAAAACAGTCGATGTTAGAGTCTGAGTCTAGTGGAAATAAAAAGAATAGAATGGAAAAGCGAAGACCATACCTGATGCTCAAGCTCATCGAGACGCCTGTTAGCCTCAGCCTTTTGCGCTTCTAACTGTCTGACGGTCGTTTCGAATGTGTCGCATTCTACCTCCATGGTATGGATGCTCGCTTGCCTCGTGTTTAGCTCGTTTTGGGTTTCGAACACTTGCGTTTCGAGAGTTCGTTTCTCGCTGCAAGTTAAAACGTCGTTCAAATACCGATGTCGCCATATAATTTACTGATACACATACCTCTGCATTTCCCTGATTTCGGCAGTGATTTTTTCTACTTCCTTACTTGATCCTGATGATGACTTAGATTCTGCGTGAAAGATTTCGGTGGTGCTGGTGCTCATGTCTGACATTCCACCATTCACCGCACGACAAGATGGCGGTATGAGGTCTAGAGGCAGCGACGCTGGTGGGCCTTTGTTGAAATTCTTTTTCTCCTCAATCAGGTACATAGCCAACGCGAACTGATCCAGGTCTAAGGTACCGGAATTTTTCATGTCGCACAGGCTCCTGCAAAAAAAACAGGCTTATAGGCATCGGTCGTGAGGAAACTTGAAAAATCGCTTTTCTGGTCAATACCATATTTGAGCCAGGCAGCTCTGCGGTAGGCCAGTTTGCAAGAACGTCTCCTTCACGTCAGAACCGCTAACCACACCGACGTGATTTTTGTCAAGTTCATTAAAAAATGGCTGCCATTTTTTTGTGTCCACGCTGAAGTTCCACAACGCGGAAGGGCTCTGAAAACTTGCAGTCAAACCACACACATTCTGCTGACTATCGCTATGAAATACATTAATATAAACATACTCCAGTTAGGCTGCGAGACGCGGCACTTCTTCCTGACCGACAGTCGTCGCCCTGATTAAGTGATGCGATGCTGTCAGTCCGAAATTTGAACGAAGACGAGTAATTCGCTGCCGAGTGCTAAAACTGCCAAGCTCAAATAAATACTGCAAAGTAAAGTGAGCAAATGATACTGATTAGCAGTGGTAAAGAACTTACAAGAGGTTCAAAGAGTTAGAATGACTGATAAATGGACAACATGGTCAAAGTACCAGAGCCTGTTTCCGTAACTAGAGTGACCACCTTGTTCGAAAGGTCCCTCGAGTCCTTAAACGTATGATATAGCCAAAGAAAATGGGAACTTTGTAACCGATGGAAGTAGGTTTATTTTACACTCAGTCATGTTGGGGTCATTTCTTGCACCTTTATCTTCATGAAGTTAATGATGGAATGCTGATCTCCATTTCCAGGCTAGCCATTGGCCAGGAGTGCCTTTTCTGTAAAGGTTGACTCAACAGTAGTTATGTGGCTAGCATAGTATGTAGCCTTCTGCTTCCTTC